AGAGAGAGAGAGAGAGAGAGAGAGAGAGAGAGAGAGAGAGAGAGAGAAATTTAAAATGCAGATGAACTTGCTGCATTAAGCAAACAAGCAAACAAAATGAATAAAACAGATGGGAATGGTGAGCTGGACAGACTTTTGAAAAATAAAGCCCTTCAATGCCATTCCTTTCCAAGTGTGTTCTTTCATTTGAAAAAGAAAGGCTGTAGAAGTTTTATATACTGCAGTAAACCAAACCAAACAAACAAATCAACTGTGTCAATAGGCTAAATTGATAGGTATAAAATGTCCTTTGGTATTTAACAATTTAAGTGACCTTTATGTCAGCATTTTCAAATGTAAAAGAATTACACAATTAATCTGCATTTAGAAAATATAATAGAACAGAAGCAAGTTTTAAGTTCATTGATGTTATAGACATTTTATTCATCTTTTCCCCCTTCAGTATCATGTGTCTTTGATGAACACTTTTGCTTGAAAAATGACACTTGTCAGAAAAGTATTCTATTGATATTTACAAAATAATTTACTGAGTGCTCAATATAGTCATCCTTGTGATCTTCCAGTATCCTGGAGCAGTTGCATCTGTTTTACTTCCAGCAGCTCTAAGAATTTAAGGACCAAGTCATCTAATACACAAGGTAAAGTCAAAGTGAAGTAAAGTTAATAGTAAATTATACAATAATAATAAAGGCTCCTAATTTTCTCTTATCTACATGTATGTCCTCAAAGCTCCCTGCTGCTGCTTTTCATTTTTACTGTTGGTGCTGTGCTAGAACTTGGGCCCTGTACATGAAGGGGCTATGGACCCTTCATGGCTTCCCTTACATTAAATGAAGATGTTGGTTTGTGTTTGTTTGGAGAGACTATTTGCTGCATGCACAAAAAGCTACAGATGAAAACCCACAGGCTTCCAGGTGCTTTGAAATAAAGAGTTTCCATTAGATAATATTTCACCTAAAACCATCAGTTCATTTTCAGTTAACAGTTTTAGCTGTTAGAAGAATACTGATATAATAATGTACATTTCCATATATAAATTTCTGCCACTAGCTAAATATTTTATTCACACACACACACACACAAACACACACAAACACACACACACATTGATTTTTAGAGAGTAGATGGAAAGTGACTTAAGATTTTACAAAAACAGGAGGCAGAATGTTCGGGGTTAGAGGTTAACATAGTTCATGGGTAGCTGAGCACAACATGCTGTGGCCAAAACCAAGCACAAACAAACAAAATATGTGCGACTTACGCACTTAGCTTTTATTGCGCAACACCCCACCACCACCCATTTGCCCCAATTTTTTTTTTTTTTTTTTAAATTTTTGGTTTTTTTTTTTTTTTTTTTTTTTTGGCAACAAGGTCTCACTGTATAATCCTGGCTGGCCTGCAACTTTCCTTGTAGACCAGGCTGTAGGTTTCAACCTCAAAATGGTCCTCTCACCTGCACCACCCAAATGCTGGAATTATAGGGATGCTCCATGACCTCCAGCTTAGTTTCACGTTTTGAAAGTGAAAAACAAACAAATAACCACACAAAAAAATCTAAATCAAAAGCATGATTCACAAGAAATCTGAAAAGATCAGAAGGTAATGGAACAAGTAAGGATGGAGATGAACTGCAGAGGTTATAAAGTTGTCTGAGTGAGTAAGTGCTTCAACAGGAGGTAACTGTTCTCCATTCTAACTGAAGACAGCAGAGAAAAGCTGACTCTACTGTGCAACATTTTAATAATGTATGAAGTTTCCTGGCTGCGTAACTCAAAGTTTCCTTTTGAGGATGTATTACCGAACTGGATATCCCAATATAGGAATGTGAAGTGTTTGAATATGCTGGGATGAAGAATGGCCTCTTCTGCCCACACTATTAGGGTGAGATCCATGCTTTAAGTGGCCGAACATCCATAGGAGCAGGCCCCAGCTGCAGGTTTTCACCAGTTTCTCTACTGACTGAGGGTATGGGGCACATAGTAGGTACAAAAGGTATCTCAATCATGTGGGTTTCAGTAATTCTTGATCACTCAGAAACACAGAGAGTGTTGGCCTTAGGTGTGAAGCAGACATAAGCTTCCATAGCTGAAATTGGCAAAGATGAAATTGCCAGGAGAGCTCCTGGGCCTCTTCCTAATGAGGATTAGGCCTCAGGGCTTCACATTCAAGGGTGTCTGGAATACTGAGTTTTGCCTCTAGAAATATCTATTAAGGGATCCATGAAAAATAAAAGCTTTTCTCTTGTCTTTTGGTCAGAAGGGTGAAAGCAAACTAGTAATTCTGACTCTGGCCTCTCTCACATTCATCTCTCTCTCACCTCAAGGAGAGATTTTTCTAGCATGAAATGACAAGATTATTCCTTCAGAGGAAGGTCATTATTGTAGTTCTTGCTATAATCATAAGACACAAAAATGTTCTTCATCTGTAGACAGAGATGAGCGTACAAGCTTACCTCGCTGGGATAATTAGATTTGGTGCCATTTGGTCAGGGTGTATTTTTTTTTAAATGAACATTACTCATTGGTACACAGTAAAATAATTGCTATGGTTGCTGGCTTTTATAATCCAATTATTTTTATATGTGAACATAAGTTTTGAACTTAGTTTTATCTAAATGGTAGGTGCTTATGAAATATTATGTATGAATAGAGGCAATACCTTAATTTCCAGTTCAAACTAAATGCTTCAAAATTCAATGGAAGGCAGGCTCATATTTATCATCCAAACCTCTGGGTACTGAGGCAAGAGTATAAGCTTAGGCCTTCCCGAGCTACACTTTGAAAGTCCATCAAAGAAACAACTCAAAGTTCAAACAAAACAGTAATATGATATTTGGCTTGTTAATTCATTAATTTGTGGTTTGTTTGTTTATTATTTTTCTTCTAGTGGCAATATGTCTGTGATATCAATCCAGGTATTAGTAATCTATTCATGCCTCAGTGGGAAACATGAGATTACTTTCTTGTAAGTATTCTGATATTTGTATCAGCAAATAAGTTATTATAAATTGAATAATTTCCTCCTTCCAACAATACTGAAGCATGCTAGCTTATTCACTAAGTATGAAGCCCACTGTCTTCAGTTTTCAGATTCTCCTAAACAGTATGCAAATCTGAGGGAGTCACTGACGATAATTTCATAGCAGGTTGCCGCTAACAACAGTATACATGGTCTGTCCTTTGATTCCCTGTGGATACATGTCTCTAGGGTTGGGAGTTCTGAGCCAAAGGAAGTTGAGAGAAGTATTGTCAGATACAACTCACAAAACTATAGGTGTTTCAGTTAGATTAAAATTTATGATAAATGGCAAACAGTTGTTTGAGGATATGTGCATTTTATTATATTGAATGATATAATATAATCCAATATATTCTATACGATACATTCATATTAGAAGTTATGCTTAGTGAAATAAGATGATAGTCACCTTATTGTAGACCCTAGGGTTTAGAGTTGTCAATCTAAGGGCATTTACTTTCTACCCATAGCATGAGGGGTTTCACATTCTTTTTTTGTCTTTTTGACTCAAATTGTGTTCATATTCAAGAACAAGAAGAGATTGCATGAGAAGCCACAGGAACACTAATTTATGAAACCTGTAACTACTGAGGAAGTTGGATGTGTTTTTGTGTAAGAGATGACTGACAAAGGTTTTCAAGCATCTTCATCTACACTTTAATTTGATTGTGCTTTATGGGATATGCCACTGATGTTTCTGGCTGTGATAAACATTTCTTACATACAATGAGGAATATTCCATACCAGTAGCTTTAATTATATCTGCAATTTGCTCTGTTTTGGGTCCCTACATGATACCCTTGTTGTTCTTATGGTTTCCTCACTTGTCTCTACCCCATGATTCCTCCTTCTAAACACTCATGGCCATGGTGATCTTTCTACAGATAGTTTCATTGTTCACAAGATTCATCACCAAATACTTTAGTAAGACAATCATAATCGTCCATAGTGTGAATCTGTCCATGCCCAGTTGCATATCCTACAACTTTTAGACCCAAGCCACCTACATTTGTAGAACATGTAGTTTTGATTTAGGCTATATGAGTTCTTATCTTTCTATAATTTTTTTCAGTCTTCCTGTCTCAGTTCTAGAATGACAAACCCACATTTATCCACCTGTCAAGGACCAAGATCTACCCAACCCTATTGAGTGTTTTTGATCATTGTATTCTGGAAATTTCCATTGTACTTTCCTTAGACTACCCCCATATGCTCTTTTCTCTGTGATAAATGTCAGTTAAGTCTTTTCTCTCACACCTGTTTGTTCTATGGGGGACAAGGATATTATGTAACTTGTTCATGTGTTTTGTCTT